ACTCGAAATGCTAGGAAATCGTTTTGCTGCTCTGTGCTATGTGCTCTGTGCAACGTTGGAGCTCAACAATGAAGAAGAGGAAGATCCAAACGTGAGCGGGAACAATGTAGACGGTTTCGAGGAAACGTGTTGCTAGGCAACGCGAGTGTTCTGCTGACCTTACTATTAGTTGATGTGACTACTCGTCAGAATCGCAAAGATTTGCAAACAGTCGCTTCTTCCTTTTTACGAACAATTACTCATGCTGTCTTTTACTTTTAAAGTTGTATACAAGGTAACCATTTGTTGATGTCATCGTCAGTAATGTTCAGAAAGAAAATGATATATGGATCACGCTTTCATTTGATAAACCTTTAATATTAACATTCTAATAATAAACCATAAAAATATTTTATACACACAGCCCAATTTTAAAAATCCATTAAAAAAACTATATGAAATCCAGTTTATCCTATCCGTTCTGTTTTAAGCCTGTGAAATTTAATAAAGAAAACGCACGCTAAGACATTACAGCTTTAATTAGTCTTATTACAATAAGAATAGAATGAAACAGTGATCACGTATTTTTCTGATTGTAAAAGTCAAGGTCTCGTGTATTTTTATACCTGATTGATAAAAAGCTACACCACCTTCACCAAACTACACCAAAGTACACCAGCTACAATTACCCCGAAGTACACTGACTGCACTAAACATCATCAAACTACGCTTAGCTATACCAATAACAGCAAGAGCACCAAACTACATCAACCACACTACCCCAAATTACACCAAACTACTCCACACTTCACCGTGTAACATCAAACCCCTCTGAACTACACCAAGTTAGTACAGCAAACTATTAGGGTAGCCTCCCAGAACTCAACATAAGTCGTGATAGAATCAATTGATCGTCACACAGCTTCATTTGGTTGGCCTCTTGAGGGTGGCTTTGTGCAGTGTTAGGAAATAGGGACTGATTGGAGATTTCAGCTGTTACTATGTTTTATTATCATAAGCGAGGGGTTTGATAAATAAAATGTGGTATAAGACTGTGTCATGTTTCTAAGTGATGTTTTCCTACCCACCTGAGCTACTATCCATTCCCTCATTCTTATAGTCTGTACAAAGACTTCTATCTTCATCTTCCTGTCTCTATTTAAATGTGAGATCCCTGAATTATCCTGATTTTGAAAACAAGTAGATGAATATGCATTAGTAAGCAGATTTCGTAACCTTCCACATAAGTCTTACATGCGGAGCATTTCCTTTTTGCGTTGAGGTGCTCTTTAATGTTTCATGGATGCGTGTCTTACCTGAACGTTTGACAGGATTTCTGGAATACCATCTCTAAACAGCATACTAATACTAAAATAACAGACAAAACACTAATGTTATTTCTCATAATTTCGTCTTCTCTTTTCCCTCTGACTACTCCTCTTACAAACGCTACTTTTTCGGTTAACTATCAATTGTGACCTTTAATAGTTTAGGACATTCGCAAGGCGTTTCACCATTCTGCACCAACCACACAAACAACACCAAGAACATCAAGCTACATCACCCACATTAAATTACACCAACTGCACAAAATTACAGCAAACTGCATCAACTACACCAGACTTTACCGAACTACACCAAAAAAACTACAACAGGCCACACCAAAATAGACCAAACTAAACCAAACTTACTCCTCTCTTTCATTTTCTGTTTTCGTTACAGTAATGATGAATCTAAAACCAACATTTTCCTTCCTGCTCCTTTCTTCCGATCAAAAGGGCGTCTCTGATCATCAGTGATCTACAACAAAATTTGGCATACCGAGTAACCATTCTCACCTATCTGGGGCATCATTACCGCTCCTCCTCTCTATAGTTACAGGTGCACTTGCTGGAAACTGTGGTGGAGAAACGCGATGAAGAAACTAAAGGTTACAAGAAAATGATTCTGTGTCATTTATCGATTAAGTTAGCCTCTACCTAATAAATTTTGTAAGATCGTGTTACTCAAATGCCTGATCCGAAACAGTCTGCCACGTTTCTAAATTCCAAATAGATCAATGCTCTACCCACCAAATACAAAGCATGGTAAGTTTTTACCAACATGAATTGTTTGCTTGATTGAGCTAAGATATACAGCATTTATTATTACCGGTTGGGAGGCTAATTTGGAAATCATGGAGCTTTTGATATTGAAGTTTAAGACTAAAAAAAAGGTAATCATGACAAAAAAAATTTTAAAAGATACAAAAATACAAACACTCGCTCTCGAATAGCAAGCGAGCAGACACACTGGACACATGCTTCTAAAAAAGACAGCATCAAATGCTATCTACTTGAAGAGAGTCAGATAAGGAGAAATACTTGTGTGCTTATTGTAGCGAAAACATGTTTAAAAACCAATCTACCCTATTTTATTCTAAGTATCAAATCACAGCAAAAAATAGTCGAAAATTAGATACGAAACTTTTAAGGGATTGAGTATAGAATAGACGCTGACAAATATGAGTATTTACAATTTATGTCATCATATTTGCTGGGCACATTGCTCGTCATTCAAAGTATTTTCCTTTTTTCTTCATATATTCGTTTTTTTTTAAAGATATATTGACGTGTGATTTATTTTTACATTGCATTGTGGCTTTATTTCATCCGTGCACAATTAAAGAATACTAGTATTATATACTTACCAGTGAAGGTTGAGTTGCCATTTTACTTATGACTTAGAATCTACAACAAAACCAAAATCAGTGTTTGTGCAAGAAAGCATGTTTTTGTCCAAACTACTTTGAGTATATGAACTGACATTATCAAGGCTTGCTCTCCTACGCAACTTTATTTGAAATGATTTACAGCTTGCTACAAATCTATCCATATAAATCATTTTGCTTTTCCTGAAAGCCATAGATAAATGCTTTTCTTTCAATGGGTCAGAGCTTTATTTACGTTTTATCATATTTACCTCCAAAGGACAACACAGCAAAGGAATCGGTTTCAGTTAATCTTAAGGAGCATTTAGCTACGAGAAAACTTATTATTGGTGTAGTTAGGTCAATATTGGCGGTAAGTTTTATCGAGGCAGCGAGTGTGCATTCTTTGAAGTTTGATCCCCAGGTGCGTTCGCGATCTCAACATTAAGCTCGCTCGCAAAAATTGATCTCGAACTGATTTGAAATTTACGTGATCTCTGTTAACTTACTACGATGTGGTTTCGTCAATTAGCTGTCTCTCTAGGAGTGAAAAACGGTATTCATCGACTCAGAAATCCTACATAATTAGGATGGTTTTAACTCCTGGAGGTATCAAAATATAGAATCCTAGTCTGAATTTAAGAAATAATAAAACTTGTGAATTTGTGACGAACATTAATCTCACCTTGGAATTATTGTCTTTGTATTTTGCCTTCTCCTTCGATTTTGCGGGAACGACCTTTCTTTGCACTGACGAAAAGTCTCTAGGACGTGTGGGCCTGGAACCTGAAAAGTTCGAACAGCTTCTCGAATAATCTTTTCGACGCAACATGGCGGTGAGAAAATGAAGATGCTTCTTGCACTAAATTGAAGTGTTCAAGAGTTGTACAAAATTTAATTTTTTAGTTTATGTTGGTTCATTGTCCTAGTTGTGGAACAATATATAATACTCTAGAAGTTCCCAGCAATCTCTGGAGGAATGGCTGTAATTTTTGCGAGGTTACGTAATCATTTCCCACTAAAGAGGCGAATAGAGAAAGCAATTCTGTGTGAATTCCAAAATACTGTGCCAATTTTCTGCGATAGAAAATGCGGGCTTTTGAAGGACATCTCTGCCACTTGAAAGAGCGGAGTGGAATAAAACCACCTAGAACATCGAAGATGAAGAAGTCGCTGTCGTTGCTTAGAACAGGACATTCCAAAGCATTGGCCAAAGAAGCAATTTCAGCATCCGCTTCACTAACAAAAGACAAGAAGATTGAATTTTACTTTAAAATATCGGCCTCGTCACGTGCGAAATTATTCATTGAACCACATGGCCATTGTAATAAGCAAATTATCGTCAGCTTTTTGTGAAGAAGTAGCGTTGCCTCCTTTTCACATCGCACACACTTACGAATGACCGTTCAGAAGCAAAAATAATTACCTTCTTCGAATAAGGATATGGACAGCTTGCTGCCCTCTTTTTCTCCGACTCGTATTAGCGCTATTGTTTTAAATGAGGACCAAAGCGAATATGAAACGAAAATTGTTTTGACTCAAATTACAAATTCAAATAGCATGAACGAAATTTCTATTTCGATCTTTTAGGGTATAGGGTATCTTCAAACGTCGTCCTGATCTATGCAGCCAAGATCAGAGGCAGAATAAAAATCTGACTTTCTCCTTTTCGGGATTATAACTTCCTTGAATTAGGCTGTTTTTTTCATAAGTTTTTCCATGAGATGAACGTCAGCGAGTTTTATAAACAACTTTCACAGATGCCTTGGGTAATATCTGTTCATGACGTGTCTTCTAAATTTATGTGTGCAAAGTGGAATAACTCTGATTACATGTTACCTTTTTCGTATTTATTTGCAACTTACCAGTCAGAGACGGCAAATTTCACGCCAAGATCGTTGAGCGCTCGCGCAAACACAAAATTCAACAAAAGCGGGTAAACGAAGACATCCTTATTCGCTTCTTTTGGATTTTTTGCGAGCATATTGGCTGTCTTTATTCTCTCTTTTGACCTCTTTCTGTAGGTGTCCAATTTGTTATCACTGGTATATGCGCCATCCAGGACTACGAATGATTCTACTCCCACAGATTCTAGAGCGTTAAAGAAATCGACTATTATGTCATAGAATTCCTTATATTGCCCGCCACATCGTCGATCGAGGCAATTGTCTGTGTAAAGAGAGTTGGATAAAGCTGATCCATCTATGACCAGTTTTGTGTCTCGCCGTAGTTCGATCGTTTCCCAAAGCTGTTCGATTGGTTCGACGAAACTAAAGAGTCCGCGAACGCCCATTACCTTGATGAGAAGCTTAGACTTACGACACCTCGTTGACGAATAATGGCCTCACTTCCAAAAGCCTCAAAACGAGGTTGAGCGTGGCGTTGGAAAGTTGTGACAGGTTTATAAACAATAACGCCAGATTCGTCATGACCTGTTTTTTTACCATCATTTTTGCTTGGGGCACTTAGGTTCATGCAAATAAGAGAGACCTAATAGTCCTTCTTACAGTTGTGGGCTTGGTGGCCAAGCCTTTGAACAAGAGTGAGGCTAAGGGTGACCCTGTTGTGATAGAGACCTGTATCTAGTTAGCATGATAACAATGAAATTTGCATTGAAAAGCAGCAACATCTCTATCATAACAAGGTCACCCAAAGCCTCACTCCTGTTCAAAGGCTTGGCCACCAAGCCCCCAACTGAAAAGAACTATTTATGAGACGCTTGAGCTTCGCAATTTGTTAGGAAATCGTGTGAAGACAAGGTAATTTTTAGAGAAAATTCCAATTGATGATAAACAAAGTATCATAACAGGATAATAATGAATTATAAAAGAAACCTTACTGAATACAACAATAATCTAGCATGACTTACATGATGTCCTTTTCCGCTACTGAGAGACTATATTCGTGAATTATAGACATAATGCTGTAATCGTGAGTATCGAGGGAACTACGTCCTGCAAATGTCTATAGCGTCATGTTAGAGTGAACATAGTAAGATCAGGTATTCTTTGAGATCATGGAAAAGGTACCGGAGCTTTAAGTTCATCAAAGAACTTCAGTGGTATTCGTGTAGGGAGAAAATCATTTAATGCTTGGCTAGTCCGTCACAGACAATTGACAACACTAATGTGGGAATCCATTCAAAATATAATTTATTTAAAAGCATACTGATATTTTTTCCAATATTGTAAACTATTAAAAGATAAATTTAGAACACAGGCACTGCAGCGGACAAAAGCGGAATTATAAGTCTTTACTTCTATTTCGTCCACTTAACCTTCAGGGACTGATTAAATCATTATGCTAAAACTTCTCAAAAAATGTTTGTATGAATTTTATGACTGAAAAAGAAAAGAAAAAAGTAAACAAACTTTTTAAAGGGCAGTGGGATGTCAAAAATTTCAAACTAAGATCCACAAAAGTCAGGAAGTTGTTGCACGGTTAGTATTTGGCGCTGTCCGCAGACCCCTCGTTTCTTTTTCTTTTCTGGAGGAAAACAGAACAGGTTGAAGATGCAAATTCCTTGCTTTCGTTTATTGAGCGAGAGGCGGATCAGGAACATCGAAGAACTCCCCTCTGTGATTGTGGAGGGTAACCTGTAATTTTGGTATGGTTTCCCTTTGTCAATCAACCAGTAGATCTTAAGACGCCACTGTCACTGTGCTTGAGCTCTAAAGGGCTGAAGGTGTTTTTTGGGCGCTGCCCTCCTAAGGTGGTGATACCTCACCTGGTGGCTGGGAGGTCGCTTCTAAGAGATTTTTCTTATTGCAGGGCTTCCACTGTAGTTCATTCTTGGTCAATGCAAGCGCAAGCTTTGCATTCTGGCAGCAACATCGCCTGCAAACAGGACCATTCACAGACTCACACTGGAGTGGTAATCATTTCATATTAAAGTTATTGCTGTTGTTTCAATGATACGTTTGCAAACTGAATTCATGCACCTATGAAGTGGAGAGAGAGTTTCCCTCACCAATGAAGTTACCACGAACTAAACAGAAGGGTCTGACCCACATGCCTCTAACAGAAGAGGTTGTTATTTTGGATTGAGCATGTTTATTAACATGAAATTCATACTTCAAAAATAACAAATACTTTTTTCAATGCGCCTTTACCTTCCCGCTCTGTAATCGCAGTGTAAAGCTCCTTATATCGCGAAAGACTGCTTGGAGAACATAGTAAGGTTTCTGGGTTATGACCTGGTGGAGAGAAAGAAAACAAGTATTATTTCACCAATTCTTGTTACTTTTATTCGATGGGGGAAGCGAGAAAACACTCCGTTGCTCAATTTTCTGAGCCACAGAATCTCTTAACTTCACTCTGATGGAAACGTTGGAGAACTGAGGTGGAACAATAAATCATCGTTGTTGTGTATTGTACCAGGATTTTCCCTTACACCAGGAGGAAACAAAACATGTATTCTCGGCCTGGTTACACTTTAACAATTTCCTCTCTGTTATAATCCTTATCGGTTTTCATTACGCTCTATGACTCTCGAAGATAGAAGGGAACTGGTTACACTCGTAACAAAACTGTGCATGGTAATGAAGACAAACAATATGACCGGTTTGACTGCCGTGCAGTGTCTTCGTTGCTCAAACTCCATGTTTGGCCGGTGTAAAGCTCATATAAAATGGAATCAGGGGGATTCACAAGGATAATGAGATCTAAGAAAAACCTTGACTTTTAGAGGCCCTGGTCGAGGACAACGCCCTTTCAAAAAAAAAAAAAGGGGGTCCACTCTGGCTTCGTGGGTGCGCAACATTAAGAAAGAACATAAAATAATCGACATCGAACGTTGGAAGTTTCGTGACCTGGCGAAAACTAACCTTCATTCAGTTCATCTTGGAGGCAATGCGCTAGTCGACCATTGAAAGTCTTATGAATACACGGTGTCTGTAAAGGCTCAGACAAAACGAAGTTTAGATTAATGACATCTCTCAAAACACACTGCCATTGACAGAAGCTTTGCGCTGCTCTCTCATCGAAGGGTTGAGATCTATATTTTCTTGGTTGTTCTAGATATTGTTTCCACGAGCCGTCCTCTAATTGGACACAACTGCAAAGTATAGCAGACAGATGGCTTGTCTCCAGGGGTGGTTGCGCGTTGCGAAGGAGAAAACGTAGTGATGATGCGACTAACGCGAGCTCTTTTGGTAATGACTCCACGTAAGCTGTGTCTGAATCAAGCGCATCCAAGAACAACGTCAATCTCTTTTGAAGATCAAGGCTTGGAATAGAGCTCAACGAAGGGACCCCATCATTGTAAGGCTTAATATCTGTGTGCTTAACTGCAATGCCCTCTCTATCCCATTCTTCGACCTTCTTCATGTTTCTTCCTTCATCGCTTAAGATATCATACGCCAGCTGTCTCAATGACATTGAACACTGATTTGACGATCTGCTCTCACGGTCCTCAACCTGGACTCTCAGAAAAACTTTTCCCGCC